TCACCATCACCATCACCATCATCATCACCATCACCATCATCGTCACCATCACCATCACCATCAACGTCACCATCATCTTCTTCTTCTTCATCATCTTTGTTTCCCCAATTTATGTCAAGTTGAAGCAATTCATGTTGCCCGATTTCTTCATAATAAGATGATTCAACAAGTATATTTGGATCATCAAGTGTTTGAGTAGGAAGGACACAACATGGTTGAGAAATCTCATCTGATTGATCAACATCAAATGATGTTACATTGTTGGCATCTTTAATAAATTCACCCATGTCAACATTATAACGACTTCTAGCAATTGTCTTAATAACCGTCCACCATTCAGATGATTTATTACCAGGTGGATATGTATAGTAGACTTGTTGACATTGTTGTGCTAGCACAAAATCTTCATTTCCTTGTAGTCGAGATGTATGCTTGATTTCAACCAAACCATTCGAAGGATGCACTCTAATTCCTCGTCTTGTATCATACCAATTACATCTAAACATAAATAACTTGCACTTACTCCCTAAGTATTTTAGCCGGACAACTTCTTTAAGCATTCCATAATAATCACGTTCATTATCATCATAGCAACTTCCTTTCACACAAACTCCACTATTCATTGTCTTTTTAAAACGACCATAACGTTGAGTATGAAATTTAAAACCATTCACATAATACCCATTATAGCATTTCACTGAAGTTGAAGGGCCCATAGCAAGTCCAAAGAGCTGATTTTGAATTCCATTAGATTGGTATTCCACCTAGCATAATAGTTAACTCCATAAGAAATAATAATTTAAAAGAGATTAATAATATTTTTAAAGTAACTAATTGACATAAAATATAAATTAATTTTATTAAAATACTTACATTATTTTTTAACCAATTTGGAAAGATCACTTCGCATAATTTTTCAATTTCACCATCACTCGCATATGGTTGTTGTGACTTTAGCTCTTGACGGCATTGCCTAATATTTAAAAAATGTTAAAGTTAATAATAAATTATTAGAAATTTAGTAAAAAATAATATTTCATACTTACTCTAAATAAGGCTTCAGTTCTTGACAATTGAATATCACATAGTTATGCGCAATTTGCATTTCAGCATGTGACAACTGCCTTCTATAAAATCTTTTGGATAATTTTTTTCCTGGATAGGAAAAAATAGAGAGACATCCATCTACACTTTTAAGGCCACCATCATCATTCCGTGGAACTCGATTCCAAATTGTTTGCACGTCATCACCAAAATAATGAGATGCAAAATTGGTAATTTCATCAATCAAGTACGCTTCACATATGGAACCCTCAACTTTAGCTTTATTGGTAACTTTCTTCTTCAAATAAAACATATACCTATATCATTTTTTTCAATTAGTTTATTAAAAAAAAAATGAATAAAATGAACATAGTATGAAACATACCGTTCAAATGGATACATCCATCGATATTGAACTGGTCCACCAACTTTTGCCTCGTAAGGTAGATGTATCATCAAGTGTTCCATGGAGTCAAAGAAGGATGGAGGAAAAATCCTTTCAAGTTTGCAAATTATTTCAATTATATTCATCTGCATTAACTCCATGTGCTGGGCATTTAAATTTGTTGAACAAATATCTCGAAAAAATACGGATAGTTCAGTTAATGCCTCCCACAATGGCCTAGGTAAGTAAGGTCGGAAAGCGGTTGGAAGAAGTCTTTGAATGAAGACATGACAATCATGGCTCTTCATCCCCGAAACCTTACATTGTGCCTCTTTCACACATCGTGAAATGCTTGAAGCATAACCATCAGGAAATGATAATTCCTTCATCCATGACAACACTTCTTGTTGTTGTTTCTTGTGTAGACAATAAGTGCTTTTAGGTTTGTAAACCCGACCACTCATATCTTGTTGCAAATGTAAATTTGGCTTATGACAATACAATTGAATATCCAACCTAGCTTTTAAATTGTCCTTGCTTCTATAAGGACAATCCATTACTGTATAAAAAATATTGTCAAAGACATTTTTCTCAATATGCATGACATCAAGATTATGACGAATCAAATTTGTATGCCAATATGGAAGCTCCCAGAAAATACTCTTCTTCACCCAATTGTGTTTAACACCAAATCCCGGAATTTTAACATTATATGATGAACCTCCAATATGTCCCTCAGTATACTTGGACACTTCATTTAACATTTCCAAACCAGATGGACGAGGTATAGGAGGGAGCCTTTCAATTACTCCTTTCAAAAACTTATCAGATTGATGTCTATATGGGTGGTTCATGGGTAGGAATCGTCGATGACAATCAAAAAATGTAGTTTTCCGTCCATTTTTTAATCTAAAAGCCTTGCTATGCTCCATACAATAAGGACAAGACAGATTTCCATGAGTACTCCACCCCGATAACATGCCATATGCTGGAAAGTCACTAATGGTCCACATCAAAGCTGCCTTTAATTGAAAATTTTCTTTTCTGTAGACATCATATGTTTCAACACCAACAGACCATAAATTCTTTAACTCATCAATCAAAGGTCTTAGAAAAACATCAAGCTTTTTACCCGGATTCTTTGGCCCAGGAATCAGCATTGTCAAAAACATGAATGGTCTAGTCATGCACTTCCATGGAGGCAAATTATAAACAGTCACAATTACTGGCCAACAAGAGTATGTATTTGAAGACATGTCAAATGGACAAAACCCATCAGTGCACAACCCTAATCGAATATTTCTCGGATCTGATGCAAAGCTGAAGTGAACACGATTAAACTCCTTCCATGCCTCCCCATCAGATGGGTGCACCATAACCCCATTATCTGACTTGTGAAAATGATGCCATGTCATATCTTTGGCATGATATGGAGACATGAACAGTCTTTGAAGCCTTGGTGTTAAGGGAAAGTATCGAAGTTGCTTCTCTGCCTTATTGGAACCTTTACTAGTTGGATTTCTAGGTTTGTATCGTGAACTTCCACAAAAATCACAATTTGTTTTCATTGCATCAGCCCCATAGTACAACATACAATAATTAGGACACACATCAAATTTCTCATAACCAAGTCCAAGTGGTCGCATAAATTTCTTGGCATCATAAAAATTTGATACCAAATTTTCATCATTAGGCATGCAACTTTTTGTGAAATCAATAAAATTGTTGAAGGCATTCTGAGTCAAATTAAATGTTGACTTCATATTAAGCAATTGTACACAAGCAGATAATTTGGATTGCTTGGTACACCCATCCCATAACGGCTCCTCCGCAGCTTTCAAAAGATTAAAAAATTTAGTTGCCTCCGGATTTGGAATTTCCCCTACTACCATAGGACTAGACACGTTATCGTTATAGAATGCATCACCAACCCCCATTGCATCTATAACTAGATTTCTATATGGATTCTCTAGACAAACATCATTCACAACATGACTCATTCCAATTGATGAAGGTCCAGCCAATATTGGTTCTGCAACATAAGGCTCCCCATGTACTGTCCAATTTTCATAACAAGGTATAAAACCTTTTGTCAATAGATGTTTACAAACATCATCTTCCTTTAAAAACTTTTGATTTTTGCACCTCACACAAGGACATCTAATTTTTCCCCCAGATATATTTTTATCAATTGAAAATGCAAAATTGATAAATCTTCTAACACCGGTAATGTATTCAGGACGAAGGCGACCATCCATAAGACGACGATACATCCATGATCGATCATCCATGTTAATCTAATTAACAGGACAACACCAATAAGCATTTTTAGAAATAAGCATACTTCTTTAACTACTACTATTTAAACAATCCTTTAAAATAAAATATGTACAACATAAATAAACTATAATTATTTGTCCAGTTCAAACATATATCAAGCTAAAAAATGTTAATGATGGGATATATGCACATGTTTGTAAAAACCTGGATAATTATTTTCCTTCTAGTCTTTGTTATTGAATTTTTGTTAATTGCTTTAAATAAATCTTAATAATTTTCATTTATATTTTCCAATTATTGACAAAAGTACACTTTTAGATTATGTTTGATTAGTATTTTATACAGAATAAACGGATAAAGAAAAAAAATATTTAGTTGAACAAATATAAATAAAT